CTCTCTCTCTCTCTCTCTCTCTCTCTCTCTCTCTCTCTCTCTCTCTCTCTCTCTCTCTCTCTCTCTCTCTTGCTTCCACCCTCCCCCCCCAAAGGAGGACAGGACTTCCACACATTTCTCAGAAATGTACAGTGAAGGTAAGCGCAGCCTGCTACAGGTGTAGAATGCTGGACACTCCCTTGCTCAGACAGGTAAAGTGATTGTCAAGCAGCTCGGAGGATTCAAGCCTCAGGCACTGGGCATATTTCCATAGCCTTGTTGCAAGGCCCCTAGGCTGCACAGCAGGCAGCATAGGGCTGATTGTCCCTGCATTCCAGGTCCATGAGGAAAAGGCCTGGTAGATAGAGACCTGGTAAAAACTGCCTGGGCTCGGTTGGTTTCCACGGAATCCAAAACTCCAGTAGGCAGTACCTACCAGTCCAAGGAAGACCCAGTCACTGTATATTAGTCAAGGCCGGGCAAGTCATGGGGCCATTCAGATGGCTGGTCACCGGCAGGCTGCTACAGTGCTCGGTCAACGCACGTGGGCAGGAAGAGGAAGATGACCATGCAGTTGCCAGCGTTTGGGGACAAGACAGGTGCCATAGTTGGTTGGGCGCCTTGTAGATGAGGAGTGGCATTCGGATGGAGGTGGTCCATGGGACAGTGAGGAAGGCCATAGGGGAGACAGTTGGCGGACACTTACCTGGTGGTCAGTGGGAAGAGCTCCAAGCGGGGTCACACTGTTCAAGCAGTTATTGACAGCAGTGGACAGAGCTCAGCTGCATGGCGGATGACATTGATAGTCTAGACCAGGCAGCAGCATTATGGCTGCTGCTCTGCTGTTGTATTGATTGGATGTAGGCGAGAAGAGGGCTTTCATAATCAAGGGACTTCCGTCTCGTGTGTGTCCTTATTTTTTTGTCATCTTGTCCTTCTTAATTCTACTCTCAGTTTGGTCTACTCATGCATGTTGATCACTGAGTTCGTCTTGCTCATGAATTGAGTTCTCATGGCGAGGTCCCTTGCACTGTGATCAGATCCGGGGTAAATGTAAGGATCCCTGGTGCTTAAAACTTTCTCATGCAGTGAAATCGCATGATTGGGGCCGGGGGGGGGGGGGGGGGGGGGGGGGGGGGGGGGGCACAGAGACTAGTAAAAAGTTTTGAAGTAGTAAACGACTGTTAATGTCAAACCCAAGCATTCTCTGCTCTAACGGGAGCTGCAGAAAACTAATGAACTGTTCCTCCTCTGGGGTGCAGTAGATCCTACAATTGCTATCAAGAGTGAATGGACATCAATGGTATTGGACTCATGACCATTCAGATTATAATGCTTTTGATGGTACCTTGTCAATTTGGACGGAAAAGGTGATGATGCATGAATCAGGGGGGTGCATTTCACATATGGAGCCAGGACCATAAGGTTCTGTTTTTATTGAAAAAAAAAGGAGGCTGTGTTTCACTGCTCCACTGAGTATCAGAATGTTAAGATGAAGCTGTGTGACGTAAGGAGAGAGGAGATAGGACGCAGATGTGCTTTCAGGTTGCAACAAGGAAGCATAAATGTCCGGGAAGAGGTAGCCACATATACTTGAGGTTCCAGTTTGGGACGGGTTGGGCGAGGGAGGGGGAAGGGGGGGGGCAGGGTGGGGAATAAGTGCTTGGAAGGTTCCAGTTTGGGACCATGAAAAACTGAGGTAGAGCCCAGATGTGCTTGGAAAATTGTTGCAGTTTGAGAGTACGAAAGGGGAGACAATGTTTACCTGAGCTAAAGTCGGGAGAGAAATGACGAAAGAACTTCAAAGTAGTCTGATATTGACCAAGGATTTGCCATTGTAAGATTGTATGCATGTATCGCCTGGGAGAGCATGATGAGGAGGAGGGCATGCCATTCTTCAAAGTGAATCTCAAGAAGCATTATCCCAAAGAAAATAGCCACTGCTGTTGAAGTAAGAATGCGCTTCCAACTTTCAGCACTGATTAGCTTTGCTGTAGCATGACAAACTGAACCTTCGTTAATGCCTCTTGGGCTTGCGCAGCATTTTATTCATTCCTGAGAGTAAGGACAAGTCAATATAGTCATCCCGTGTTAACAAAACACAATACACACACACACACACAGAGGACGGCAAATCAAGGGTCAATGAGTGAACGTTTCGTATCCACTCAGCAACAGCAGAGACAACACTGCCAGCACAGCTTTAGGGGCAGGTTAGATCTGAGGTGGAGTCAAACTCCCAAGAAACATGGGTCTACCCTAGAGGGTATGTTTAGAGGGACAAAGGAAGAGGGAGGGGGGAAGGGAACGGGGAGGAAGGCTCGAAGAGCAGACGCTTCGCATCTGAATCGGGGAAGAAAAAGGGGAAAAGGTTATGACCTAGCACAGTTTCAGGGGCAGGTTAGATATCTTTCATGGAAGTCCGCGAGATCGAGTCAAGCTCCCGAGAAGAAAGGGGCGGCCCTAGACGGGGGAGGTGGAAGGGAAGCAAAAAAGCGTTATGATCCTGGTTTCCGCACCGATCCCAAGTATAGGAATTGAGGAGGGAAGTAAGGGAAAAAGTTCTGATTCCTGGTGTCAGTCTTTTTTCTCTGGTCTCTTTCTCAAACCGGGGATCGAGAAGGTAACATAGTATGTCACCGCTGAGCTGACCACATGTGGGCCACTATTGAAAAAAAACAGGTCCTTCTGGTCCTGGCTCCTCGTCCATTCTGCGAAGCATCAGTTTGGTTCCTGTCCGCTGGCAAGGATACTAAGCTAATAACAAGTACACACAAGGACCCACACAGCTCCCTTCCATTTAGGTTGAAGGAACCCTGACCAGCAATGGTTGCTCCATGAGGCAGGATTGACTGTCAGGTAGCCTGTACTTCTAAGATCATCTCAAGTCCCAGCATGTGCTAGGTCTTTGTCGTTGTAGCGTACCATGAACTGCAGAACATTTCGTGATCTGGTATAACGGGCTACTGATCCCTGGGGAAAACCCTGTGAGGAACACAGTTGACAGGCTGTCTCCTCATCAGCCGGAAATTATGCGTCTTGCCATCTGTCTGCTGGCTGGCCCCTTTGGGCCCTGCCACTTCCTCAATCTTAGCATGTCGTTGACAATACTTGCTACCTTTCCCCGTAGCAGCCAGTCCCTGAAGAAGGCTCTCTTCTTAGTTTTGCATTCCGCTGCTTTGAGCTTTGTTGTACGCTTAATTGAGCTCCATCTGGATCGGATTTCAGATTTCACCATACTGATCAGAGACGACTATGTTTCCTCCCCCACCATCACCCCTTTGTCAATGGTCTGCGTACGTCTTCGCTTCCATATGATTCATAGTAACAATTTCCTGTGTAATAGGACCCAGCCCTTCTTACTGCCCATCAAAGGACTGGGGATGTTTACTGTTAGCAAGATGGAAACCAAAGTGGTGGTAGGAGGGGGGGAAGAAAAGAGGGTGGCCCATAGCTCCTTGACCTTGTCCCAGACCCAAGTTGCTTCAGTGCAGTGTTAGGAGGCAATGAGTTATGTCTTCAGGCAAGTTCTTCGTGCACGTTGCACACGTATCGGTGCTGTAAATTTTTCGGTTTCCCCTGTTTGGGTTGTCCATTCCTTGGCCATTGCCCAGAAGGTACCGCCCATGTTGGAAGGAGTCTTGGCGGGGGACAGTTGTCTTTCACTCCGAGGACCATCCAGGCCCACGGAAGATATTGTTTGAGTAACCATTTGATGACCCATTTCATTTGTAGGGCTATCGCTTCCTGTTTCAGATCAATTAGACGAAGCCCACCTTCGTGTGGTTTCCTTGGGATGGACGTGATGGCCTCCATTATGAATAGGAAGATGTGAGGAGCTAGGAGATGCATTTGCCTCCATTATAAATAGGAAGATGTGAGGAGCTAGGAGATGCATTTGCGTACGGGTCATGTGACTGAGAAGATATGCCCTCAGTTAACCTGTACCCTGCCGAATGCCTCATTGAACAGGTCAATCTGAACACAACAACACATGACTGGGGATTGTGTTTGCGGGAAGAAGGAAGGAAGATAAAAAAAAGTGAATGGGCGCTGTTGCTTATGAAGGGTATTCAATGACTATCCATGATGCTTGCTAAGGTCTTCCCCTGAATAGAACGTACAGTCATGATAGCTGTATTTGGGGTAACTTCCAGTCTAGATACAGCGATAATGACCATACATTTCTTTTCTTTTTTTTTCCCTAACACACAGCGATAATGACCGTACATTGAATTCGGGGGAAGACGCTAGTTTTCAACGAATTCAGTGAGTTTTTCGCACCATTGTGAACTCACTCCTTGTTTCCAGTCATTGGTATATCTTACTCATCTTGAGTTATTCAACACTGCAGATGTCAGATTGGGTGCTCAACTGTGCTACCTGAAGAGATCAAGACATCCCAACATCCAACACCTATCCCAACCCCCTACATAAAACAGTGAAACAAGATAGCACACCCAAGTGTAGTTACAAGGAAAGCAAACAGAACAACACATATTGAGTTTGGATTTAAATTTTGAACAAAGGACTCCAAATAATCGACTAGACAGTCTGGACTCCTTTTTGTTTGTTTGAACACTGTACTCTGGTTAGCTCACCTCAAAGAATGTGAAGTGAAGACATAGCCATACAGCCTCACACAAAATACTGGCAAACTACCAACTGGATTAACTCCGTTGTGTACACCCACAAACCGGTGAAGTACAGCCCTGAGTTCCAATCCAAATGGAAACAGATGAATCGAACCAACAAACTCTGAATTGACTAGGGCCGGTTCGACAATCGTATCTCAAGGCCGTCGCCCTTTCAAGGAGAAGAAAAACAACACGAACAAAGAAAAAAAAACAGGCAAACACTGAACTCAGCTCAACAACTTACCTCCAAGAATTTTATCTTTTCTTCCACTTCATCAGCGCGCAAGTTCTTAAGAATGCTATCAAAGTCCTCCTTCGTCACTGTTAGGAACTCGCATGCCTCTCTTGTTGTCACAGTTCCCGACCTGTTGTCGGAGAATAGTTTGCCATAATAGCATTATAAATAAATATACCGTCAGGTCTTCTGGGCCTCAACTTCTAGACGATTACATTCCAGAAATTGAAACCCACCCGGGCCATTAATATAACCAATATGCCCCTCGTTCCCTAAAACTTGTTTCCTGCAGTTCACAATATAATGCAAGTGAGTATGTCTGCATGCTTAGAGTTCTCTCTCTCTCTCTCTCTCTCTCTCTCTCTCTCTCTCTCTCTCTCTCTCTCTCTCTCTCTCTCTCTCTCTTGTTGACATAGTAGAAGCCATCAGTTCAGGTCTGATTATCCCTAGATTGATCAAACCAACTAATTGATTCAGGAGTCAGGACTGATTAAATTTGAATTTAGAAATAGGGAAAAAAGGAGACACGTGTCCCTCCCGACATCCGTTAAAATTGGAAAGATACAGAGAAGATTAGCATCGCCCCTGTGCAAGGTTGACGCACATAATCATTTATCATGATGTACTCTCATTATAAGGGACGCTGGGCCCGGTTCCCAGCACGTGCTGCTCCCCGCGAATAGATTGGAGCGTGTTTCAAAAAAAAAAAAAAAAAAAAAAAAAAAAAAGACGTGCATAAGCCGAGAGATGACAGAAATGGTGCAAATTTTAGAAGAGCGGGGACCAAAAAGAGAAGTAAAGGGATAAAAATTTAGAAAATGGGAAAATTGCATAGTCTGGGGCAAGCTCTTTCAAGAGCCGGATATGAGAACAGAGGGGAACGGATGTGAGAGGGGAACCTAGAGACTTTCAGGGGGAGAGCTAGAAAGGAGAGAGAGGACTATGGAGAGGGTATGGAGAGGGTAGGCTATCCCTAACAAGGGCAGAAGAGCGGCTGGAAGGAGGAGAGGAATAGGACTGCTGGCGGCTTTGTTGGTTTGGATTTTCTCATCCGAGTGACTACGCATAGATGTGAGATTTGAGGCCTCAGAGGCTGCTAGAATGACCTCCCCCACACCTTGTCCTCCCTAGATCCCTTCTGCTGCGTAACCGGGTGCATCCAGTAAGCTTCCCGGCCAGCAGAAGCCCCCTAGGAAGGCAATGGTTTGCGGGGGGGTGTGGCTCGTAACAGCCCGCCCTTTGAGTAGGCGACTCGTACCGCAAGGGTTGGGATGACCCTTTTTCAATTCTGTTCATTCACTTCTCTTTTCTTGTACTCATGTTTGCCGGTGATAAGCAACCGGACTGATGCCCCCCAGAATAGAAGGGGCCTGAGTGATTTGTTTAAATAAATAAATAAATGAATAATAAAAAATAAAAAAAGAAGAGAGTCGAAATCAATGTAGTCTGAGATCAGCCAAACATCAGCAGTACCTCCTTCAATCATGGTGGATGGAACACAGTTCGTAGTACTTCGTACTAAGGAGAGGCAGGCTCGCTTGGCAAAGTGCAAAAGGGGAATGTCACCGAGGGACTCCTGAGGCAGAAGCTTACTTAGCACCTAGAACAGGCCGATACAGAAATGGCCCTTGAGTATACATAAAGTGACAAACATGGCCCCATTTTTTTCTTGCAGCTACTAACAGGATGTTAAGCTTAGATAATGTTTCTCCTCCTCCCTTTCCAAAGCTCTGGAACCTCCCTTGTCCACCACACATGCTCACTCACACACAGGCAATGCGCATATTAGCAGTCGGCAAGAGGTGCCAGCTGCACTGACCTCTCTGCAGCTAAAGGTCTAGCGCTGATCGTGACTCCTAACCATAGGTTGCTTCCATGTGCGAGGATTTAGTCCCTCCGCAGTGTCTGAAAGTGCCGTGCCCGCCCTAAGTGAGGGCAGGCCTGCAAATATGTGCCAATGCCTGTTTATAGGGCTATGAGACCAGGCTGACGGGCCCAAGCAGAGCTTCTTGGAACCCCCATGTGGGATGGATCTTGGACGAGGCCTTGTTACGAGTTGGCTCCCCGGCATGCCCGTGTAGGGCCCATTCAGCAAGCATGAGCCCGCCCTCAGTGAAGGCTGGCCACTGAATTTCAATATGGCCCGAGTTTGTCAATTTTGGCAAAGCTTGGTGGGCGCCAGACAGTTGCCATGCGCCAGTTGGTTACATCCTCCGTATTCGTGAGAATCAGAAATAATTCGTGAGCCTTCTAGGCTCTTCCAGCAGCACAGGCGAAGCAGGGAGAACCTCATGTTTACTCCTGGGTGGTTGGGTATGCCTAACCAATTTGGTCCCAGGCCGCTGTCTGAATGGGCCTGGGCGTCGACACTTTGACCCGATCGGAAGCTACTGGAAACACACGAGGCCCAGCTAGACAGCAAACTGGGCGAGCACTTTCCATAAAGGAAAGAGCTCGCCACTGGTGGACGGACTCGGGCACTAGGCAGTGCATGCGGCAGCGCTGCTTGAGCGTGCGCTCGCGGGCTGTGCGCTGTGCGCTGTGCGCTAGCGCCAGGTGCCAGGCAGTGAGCGCGGGCGCTGGAAGAAGGCAGGATGATGCTGAGGGCAGCACCATAGCCAGCCCTACATAGCCAGGGCTTGGCTTGGACAGCCAGTGGAGGTGGTGGTCGTCTTTGTGTATGGGAGGAAGATGTGGGTAGAGAAGACGAGGGAGAGAGAGAGAGAGATAAGGATACCTGGTCTTGGCGATCGTCCACAGGGTCGACATCTTCATGTACTTCGGTTGTTGCTGCTGACGTCAACAGGTTGCATTGTCAATTTGTAGGCTGGTAGTAGCTGTGTGATTGTAGTCTGGGCGCTGAGCGCCAAGTAAGGTCAAAGGGCTCTGGATACATGTGTTGGTGCTGAGGAGAGTACACTCTCATTGGAATTCGGATTCGGTGCTTAGGTTCTCCGTTGGTGTAATATGAGCGCATTTCTGCTTTCTGTGCAATCAGACTCGTTCTCATTCACACTTTTCATGCATGTAAACAGTAGCGCAGCAAACTGGCGACATGCGCCCACTCAAAACTCAGAGATATAGCATCCAGATACGAGTTCACTTTCAACTGGCTATGGCGACTCAGCGCCCAAACAACTCACTGTTCACATACACCGGATCACCCTGGATATCCCACACGCATCACTCTGAACACTCACACATACACACACACACTTCACACTAAACTACAGCTATGGCAGCTATGGCTGCCTCTCCTCTATCGCTATGCTACGCCCTTCTCTCTCGCCCACTTCGTCCTTCGGGCATACTGCAGACCTCCTTGCACAAGTCGCTGTGGCAGCGCTTCCGCATGGCTCACGCAGGAATGGATGAATGGCTGGGCGCTGCCTCTTGATTTATACTTCTGAAACTCGTTGGTCTGCCCTTTGCCATCGGTTCATGGTGCTCACAGTCCCCCATGGTACTTGATGGAGCGGACCGTAACTGACTGGACCTTACCGCTGACTGACTGTGGACTCACTGCTAACCTACCGAGGTCGGACTGCGATTGCACTGCAGTTTTGTCCACCACTTGACTCACCACTTGACCACTTGCCCACTTGCCGACCTTCTGGAAGGACTACAGCTAGACTTCTGGAACTTGCTAAGACTTCTACTCTATAGACCTACAGATCGAACCCCTGCTGCCTATGGACCTATGACAGACCTACCAACTGTCTACGAATACACAGGCCACAGGTTCAACTCTCGGGGACTACACAGGTACTGTACATGGGTAGGGTGAGGTCTAGGGATCGAGCCCTGGGATCTGCGTCTGTTACTGCTAAGAGGTAAAAACCATTTCACTCCCGCCGTCCTAAATTCGAGGTCCTCCGAGAATATCTCAGTCAAAGGCAGGACCTTTACCTTTCTTGTCACGCTCATAGGCTCTGACTATGTTGGGAGCTGTTTCTAGAAGTTCTGTCCTAGTAAACCAGCGGTCGTCTTCCGGTTCCTGATAAGCAAACCGGACCTTATACTGTTTCTGTGGACGACCTCTACCTCCTGTTCTAAAGACATCTTCATCTACAATGCCGTCAATGTCATAACTTCCATCCATATCCGGGGGGATCATGGATCTTCTTGAAGGGAACTGTTGACTTGTGACACACGGCAGCAGCTTTGAAGCATGAAACACAGGGTAGGTGTGGAGGTGTGCTGGAATCTCTATTGTGTAGGACGGTCCATCCTCTCCGCCCTTTTGACTTCTAGAACCGGCCACAGTCCTCTACATGCAGGCAGTAACTTCTGCGAGATGTTTTCCTCAGGTGCAAACTCTTTAGCCTTGACCCAGACTAAGTCGCCTACCTGAAACTGCGACGGGCGACGGTGCTTATTAGCCTGTTCTACCATTCTATGCTGGGCCTTCCTGAGGTTCTCTACAATTGTTGCTAGTTCTTTCTCGTGCTGTATCGCAAACTCCCTGGTACCGGGCGGTAGCCTATGAATCTGATCCCGGTTCAGTCCTTCGAATGGTCTGCGCGGCCTAAAGGACTTGTGCAGCTCATTGGGAGTGCGACAGGTGGATAGATGCACGCTGTTGTTGTATGCGCTAGCTACCTTGGGCAACATCTCGTCCCAGTTGATCTGATCAGGTAATGTACATGCGCAGAACTTGCTGTAGTATCTTGTTCATCTGTTCAGTCTGATCGTTTGTCTCTGGATGGCGGCCAGACGACATCAACAGCTTAGACCCGTAGACTCTCATAAGTTCTTGCCAGTTCTGGCTGGTGAAACGACTATCTCTACCGCTAACTATTGACAATGGGACTCCATTCTCACTAACCCAAAAGTCAAAGAACTTCTATATAACTAAGTCCGTACGTGCCTTTGCAGGCAAGGGAACAAAAACGGCATACTTGCTAAAACGGTCAACTATGACCATGACTTGGCTCTTACCATGTCTGCTCTTGACTTGGGTGTCCATGAAGTTTATGGACACTGAGTCTCCTAGCTGATCAGGAATAGGCAAGGGTCTGAGAAGACCTAGAGGGGCACGCGTAGTAGTCTTATTCCTCTGGCAAACTTTGCAACTGCGGACATACTCTATGCAGTCATTCTTCATTCTCGGCCAGGTATACACATGCA